CTATGTCTGTTTGGGCCCTTGGGAACCACAATGCTGGGTATGGTTAGGTTTTCTTCTCTCTCTTTCTCTCTCCCCTGCCCCTGGCAGGTTTTGGCACTTCCCCTAGTCAATGGCATGAAATTAAAAAAACGAAAAGAAGTAATTGTGGTGATGGTTGCCCCCAAGGACTGGATATTTCATCATGATTTAACTAGAAAGCTTTTACAAAAGATGAGAGATAAGCCATTGTGAGTCACTCCCCACGGTGTTTGTTTAGCTTTAAGGCAGGGCAGCTTCAGCAAACATCCAAGACAGAGCAATGCAAACAGCCTGGCCCACAGACGCTCACTTTTGAATAATGAATGAGAGTTTTGAAGCCCAGATGTTCAGTAATACACCCTTCCTCCATCGTATTTGCATTGCACCCAGGGGTTAAGCTTGCAAAAGACTACAATACCATTAACTGACATGCATTAGTCATTGTCCTATGAAGATTCTCAGTCATCCAGGTAAGGTTATCTGGAAGTTGAGTCATGGCAACTAGACCTCTTTCCAATTAGGTTGAAACATTTCACTTCAGTCGGAGGAGAGTTGGTAGGAGACCCCTGATATATCCTCGACCTTGGTTTCACTTCCCCCTGGTTTGAATAGGTTCATTAGAAGGATAAAGGACTGGGGGCGAGGGATAATTCCACTTCTGCAGTCCTGCTCCACCCATTGTCATGGGTCATTAATGGTTGTTAATAGTGGTCTTTCTGGTATGTGGTCTTAATCTTTCTGGGGATGGATGAAAGGACAGCATGGTAAATAGGAGCCTATTCAGGGGAAACTGAAACCAACATGGAGGATATATCAGGGGTCTCCTACCAACTCAGGCTGAAGAAGCCGCTTGAATGAGTAGCGAAACGTTTTTATACCTAATAGGAGGGAAAGTCCAGTTGCCATGACTCAACTTCCAGATTAGTCACTAACGTTTGTAGCAAAAGGCTAATAATCTTGTAAATAGGAGCCTATTCAGGGGAAACTGAAACCAACATGGAGGATATATCAGGGGTCTCCTACCAACTCAGGCTGAAGAAGCCACTTGGATGAGTAGCGAAACATTTTTATACCTAATAGGAGGTAAAGTCCAGTTGCCATGACTCAACTTCCAGATTAGTCACTAACGTTTGTGGCAAAAGGCTAATAATCTTTGACTCACAGGAACAACCATCTGGAGTGTGTGAAGGCAGTGCAAAGGAAAAGTGGGCATGAGAAAATCCCTTCCCCTTTTTTCAGAAATATCAGTAACTTGCTGCCTATTGGCCTGTGTTATGTAGATATTGACATATGGATCCATTTAGGCCAAGGTAAGTAAAGTGAGGTTCACCAGGTATCGGTGGACTGCAACACCCATGAGCCTCAACCTGTATAGCTATGAGATGCTGTGGCTTGTTGTCTAACAACATCTGGAGGCATGCAATGAGTTGGAGTCTAATAACACCTGGAGGACAGACCATTGGTTATTCTGATCCAAATTAATATCACCTCACTTGGATGGCAATGGCTCTCCATAGTCTCAGGCTGAGAAAGTTCTTTCTCATCACTTGAAGCCCGATCCCTTTGAATAGAAATGTCAGGGGCTGAACCTGTGGCCTTCTGCCTACAAAACAAGGGTTTGGCCATTCTCGGCTTTAGTTCGTGCCCTGATTTCCGAAGTCACCATTCATAGAATAAGATCACTGGTCTATCTACGCAAGGGAAATGTAACCAGGCATGGAGTCCATGTGGCTCTTCAGATGCTATCTGGACCGCAGGGAGTAACAGCACTAGACTGTGATAAAGGACTGTTGCCATCTAATAAGATATGGAGGGCCAAATGGTCCCCAACTCCGATTTACTCTTCCTGGTCAGTAACTCCTCAGCACAGCTGTTGGCAAAATGTGGTTCTCCAGATGCCATTGACTACAGCATCCCTGGTCCCTCACTCTTGGCTAAGCTGGCCAGGGCTGATGGGAGTTGTAATTTCACCACATCGGGGGGATGCATCTCCCATCCTAGGCTTAAACACATATTTCACCCTCACGCTATCCCTTGCCGGAATGATAATCTGTCATGGGAAGGTCCATAACCCTTTGTTACAGGGTAAGTATTGAATATAGAAGGCACATTTTCTTGTCTTTGCCCAAAAAAAATCCAGTTTTTTAAAATACACTGAAGTATCCTGTTTTTTTTTTTAAAAGTCAAATGACCAGATGTCAAAACAGCAAATGTTTTGTGAGAACATGTGCATCATCCTTAACGCCTTGTCTTTCCAGCGTGCCAAGCTGGAAGCGGCCATTACCGAGGCCGAGGAGCGTGGGGAGCTGGCGATCAAAGATGCCAAGGGAAAACTAGAGGAGCTGGAGGCTGCTCTCAACAAAGCCAAGCAAGAGATGGCCCGCCAGCTGCGGGAGTACCAGGAGCTGATGAATGTCAAGCTGGCCCTGGATATTGAGATTGCCACCTACAGGAAGCTGCTGGAAGGAGAGGAGAGCCGGTGAGTGCCAAGATGTGAGGCTCAGATCCATGTCTTGCAACTGGCGTATGTCCTTACAAAGCATGGGAAACTTGTGCCGTGCTACAGAGATAATGAACACCGTCCTTTTGCCGACTTATGTTTGCAAAATGGAAATGGTGTAAATGTTGGTGGCAAACTGCTGATCATTAATGAGGCACTGAGTGCCTTTCTGGGCATGTTCCTGCTCTTACCATTGGATGCCTACCCAAGAATGCAACCAGCGTCTTGTTAATGAGCGGAAATTTACCATCAAGACTTACAGAATTTATCTGATGCAGACATAATGATAGGATTTGGACCATTGTTTTTCACCTGCAAAGTTTATTAGTTACTTAATTGACTGAAACTCATTAAGTTAATTGGTTCGGATGTCTTGAATCAGATGATTGTGGCTTGCTCTGGTTCAAGCTATTTTCTGGTGACGACACAAAGTATAGAAAATTCCAAACCAACGTGATCCTGCTCTGTGCCCGATCCAGATCTTTTTTTGGTCCAGCAGCTGGACTGGTCTTTTTTTGGAACTGGGCTGGAGCAGCAAGGGCCAGATCACTGAAGTTTCACTTTAAAAAGATTTCATCCAGCTAAGTGACCCTGAAACCAATGGCCAAAATCCTGTTTCTTTCTTTTTTCCATGAGTGTATCAGCCCATTATGAGTTCAGCCCTTGTTTACCTGTTGTTTGACCAAGGGGATGTTCATGGAACAGGTATGCTTGTGAAGCAGTCTCTCCACATTTGGTAACAGGATTCTGGCCTCTGCTTCAGTGCAGGACAGTAGCCATTCACTTTCAGAGCTGCTCAATTAGGTCCTAGAATGCGATGTGCAAGGCATTTATAAAGAGGAGAAGACAGATCTGTTATCAACCTGTAGCTTGATTTGTGGGACATGATGGTCCACAGACATCAGAAACAGGGCCCTTGGGGAAGAAAGTGACATGGCTCCTCCTAAGTACCTCCTGGAGCTGGAACTTGGGCCTTAATCACTTGCAACCTCCTAAAGACAGACAGCTGTCTCCTCTGAATAATTTATATTAACAACAATTGCTTTTGTGTGGTTTCTTTGTCACCAAGAGATAAAATCCTCAGAACATGATTAGAAAAATGAGAACTAACCTCAATGGTTCATCTCCTTTCTCTCTTTCTTAATAGGCTGTCTGGCAGTGGAGTTGGATCTGTGAGCATGAGTGAGTTGGCTTTTTATTTCTTTGATTCCATTTTTGCTACCACAGACCTCAAACCGTGTGAAAACCTGACCGACACAGTACCCCTTAGGACAAAGATGAAAAATGCAAGTTAGCACTTAATGACAGGTATCTATAAGTAGAGGAGTGAGATGTCCATGGTATTTTAAACATATATAATGGAGATATGTATATATCATGGATATCTCACCCCTGTACATATAATAATAAGCATGTGCCATTCTGACCTATGATGAGCCATTTTAGTGTTTCCGAGGTAGAGAATTCTCAGAAGTGGCTTATCATTTCCTTCTTCTGGGGGTGCCCTTATCGTTCCCTTCTTCTGGGGGGTGCCCTGGAATTGTGCAGCTTGCCCAAGGCCACACAGGTTGGCTCTTCTCTCAGGAGGCACAGTGGGGGAATTGAACTCCCAACCTTTGGCTCCACAGCCAGATACCTAAACCATTGGGCTATTCAGCCAGCTCTATAGCTATATGTATATAGATACCTATACTGTATATCTGTATGACTATATTTTGGCCGAAATCTTATTGCAAAATACTAAGCATGTAACAGCATGGCATTTGCAATTTGCTTATTACCAGTTCTGTGCCTATTTGCTTGACCGGTTGCATTCCCTATTATTATTATTACTACTGTTGTTTTGATTTATATACCGCCCCACAGTGCTTAGGGCACTCTTTAGGTGGTTTACAACATAATGAAACAAGGATCACTTTGCCCTACAGTGAGCTGGGTACTCAATTTAGTAACACTGGAAGAAGGGAAAGCTGAGTGAATCTTGAGCTGACCACCTGAGCCTATTGGGATCAAACTCGGGTCATGAGCATAGGCTTGGCTGCTGTACTGCCGTTTAGCCACTGGGCCATGGGGCACCTAGATTCCCTTGCACAAATTGCTGCGAACTTGATTGCTCAGCACAGTAGGACTGTTACCATTCCAGATGACAGGGATGCCCAGTTGGTTCTTTCTTGGAGCCACTTCTGTTGTTCAATCAGTGATTCAAAGACTGAGTTTTTACACACAAATTGACCCCTGCCCCTGGTTATCCTGGTCACATCCCAGAATAAAAGTTGTTTATTTGTATAATTCAGTGACAATACACCTTCAACTCCAGAACTCAGGACTGGTGGCGAGTTTCCAATAGGTAACAACGAAACAAAGCAGAATAATCCACAAAATGAATGTGGAGGTGAAGAACTGGAAGGCATGGTTAGCTCTCAAACCTAACCAGAGTAATCAGGGATGATGGGAATTGTACTCTAGAGACATTTGGAGGGGCACCGACTAACTGGTAGAGTCATAAGTTAAATGAATGAATGAATGAATGAATGAATGAATAATAAATAAATAAATAAGTAAATAAGTAAATAAGTAAATAAATAAATAAATAACATTTTTTAAAAGGCCTGTATCTGCCTCAGACTGGCCGCTGAACACCAGCCTAAAGAGCAATGTTTTAGAGCTCCTTGAGAAAGTACATAGGCTTGGATTTTGGGGGACAGGCATTTTTCAATGAGAAGAAATTCTGCGGCAGCTCCTTCTACTTCTTTTTCTGGGGTTTGTTGAGTGAGTGATCCTAGCCAGTAAGAGTTAATGGGGTGAATGGGGTCCATCACTACACTGAACGTGGCTGCATGATGTTGTGTCTGATAGCAAGGGAAGAACCCCACCACCACCACCTTTTCCTTATTGGTCAGGAAGCCTTCCTACGGAAGGCCATAGAGGCCAGACTGTGGTAGCCTCTCAGCTGCAACCCCGAGTGTCTCTGCTTTCACCCACTACAGCTGTGCTCAACACCAGCGGTGGAGGCGGTTTCGGCTACGGAGGAGGACTCAGCTTGGGGAGCGGAATGGGCAGCGGAGGAGGCCTCAGCTTCTCCTCTGGAGGTGGCGGCTCAGGCAGCGTGAAATCGACCTACAGTGTGACCACAAGCACAAGCCGGAGAAGCACCAGAAACTAAGCTGAAGCACGCCAGAGCCATCAGTGCCTGAAGGAAAGGAAAGACGTGGCATTGCAAAGAAGATAACGGGGAGGGAGGGAGGGTGTGTGTGTGCGTGCGTTTTTCATTGTCTCCCAGCAGCCAGGCTTGAAATGCTGATACTGTACTTTCCGTGACCCTTGCCCACTTCAGTTCCACCACAAAACACTAACTTCCAAGAGAACCTTGCTGTTTATTGCACTAACAGCACAATTAACCTGGAGAGTGAAAATTGGAACCAGCCTTCCCCAACCCCTCACCTTCCAGCATGCTGGCCTACAATTTTCATTGCCCACAAGCACTGTGGACATTATGGCTGTCATTCAGCATATTCTGGTGGGGCCAAGGTTGGAAAAGGCTGTTTAAAACTGTACAGATCTATTTCACATCATCTATTTTGATGCAGGAATTGCCTTCTGTAGCAATTGCTCTGACCCCCCTCCCTCATTTTCCATGGAAGTAAAAAAAATATGAATGTCACAAAAATAAAAATGCGCATTTTTTTTCCAAAATCTGTCTCTCTGTCTTGATATGCATTGACTTCCAGTTCCACCCTGCAACCACATTAGACTAAGAACGATAACAGCTTTCATTGGTTCAGCATTTATTACACAGTGCTTTTATATCCTAATACTGTACTAAAGAAGCCACTCCAGCTTGTTAGTTGCTTTTGGTGGCTTTTAAAGTTGTTAAATGGGGAAGAGTTGAGCAGACAATTAGATTTCCAGATTTGAGAGTGGGAAGTATGATGCCATTGAGAAAACAACAGAAAGACCTGTGTCTGGAACACTGGGAATTCCTTAAGGGGCCTTCCTGCAACACTTAGTAATCCCTGAATGCAAAATGCTCTCAATGCCTCATTGATTTTGACAGCAACTAAAGGCATCCATGCAGAGCCCCAGTTCAGCAATCGTAATGCCACTGTTGCTGCTCCCCGACTTGTGCTTTGGAACTAGCAAATTTATTCAAGGAGAGAGCTAGAAGACACTCTCTGCCTGACAATGTTTGATAGGTTCAAAGTATCAAAGGGGAATCCAAGCTACCATTGTAAATCTAGACCTGGGATTCCCAAACTTGGGTCCCCAGATGTTCTTGGACTACAACTTCCAAAAATCCTGGCCATCAGAGCTGGTGGTGAAGGCTTCTGAGAATTTTAGTCCAAGGAGATCTGGCAACCCAAGGTTGGGAACCATTGATAGAGACACTTTCTATAGGATTTTCTTCCTTTCCCCCTTCCCTTCCCTTTCCTTGGATATCCCAGCCTGAAAAATGTTCTCAGTTTCTTCCTGTGAAATCCCACACATAATTCCTTATATACTGTGCAGAAATTGATCACATTCTCTGCAGGATACCTTATCAGCCCCTAGATTGATCTTACCTACTGCTTCCTTGGCAGGACTTAGTTTGAAAATCTTGCATTGAACTATGATGCTCTGTGTGATTTCTTTATCGCTCTGTTATTGTTCCCAATTTCAGGCTCCTACAAGGGTCAGTTTCAGTGATTATGTATACTGCACGAACTCAGTCTGCAACTACATTGACAGATACTTCTGGATTTCCTCCACAATTACTATGGGTGAATTCAAAGTATTTTTCAATGACTACATGATGCAAAGACCACCACAAATCAGCCTAGCCTTTTTGGCTTCCAATTCAAAGTTCTTCCCCTTGCCTCTGGGGGCTTCTACTTTTTAAAAGCTGGAACAGTTTGAACAAAATTCTCCCAATATGATTGTTGTTTCATTTTACAAGAAAAGGGGTGTGATTCTGGGTGGTGTCATGGTGATGTATTAAGCTGTGGCATTATGTTTTAGGACAGCAGGAACACACCCTTTCTTTATTTATTTATTTTATTTATTTATTTTATTTCTATCCCGCCTATCTGGACATATTAGCCCACTCTAGGCGGCTTACAATAAAAGAAACAATATAATTTTAAAACATTGCACCTAGACTAAGATAGAAATCAAAGAAAGATATAAGAAAGGAAAAATCGTCAGGAGTTTTCTGTTGGGAAAGCCTGCCTATACTACCCTTTCTTTCTCCCTAGTCTCCCAGAAGTATTTTTTGTATTTTGTAACAACCACCACCGAATTTAGTGCTATATCAGCTTATCACTGCATTGATATATTAGTTTCATGTTAGATCATTTCTGCATAGAAAAGAAAAAAAACAATAGATAAGAAAGGAGAGCTGGGGATTGCTAGGCAGGTGGTATCAAAGGAAAGGGGGCTGTGGGCACCTATCAAATTGCATCGGATTGAGGACACTGGCACTGAAAAAATTCAGGGTCTTTGTGATCGCCTAAGCCAAATGCAGCTGTAAAAGAGACAGTGAATCAAGCCACAGGAAAGCTGAATCACTTGGATTCTGCTTGCCAGTGTTATTGCACCTCAACATGGTGAAACTTACAGGCCTGAAATTGACAAGCGTAACAAACATGTACAAAATCCTGCAGGAGGTAACACTTCAGGTGCAAGCAGTGTGGGGCTGTCAAATTTAATCTTTGTTCAGAAAATTGGGGGGTGGGGAAACAGACACACAGCATGCTCAGCATTTTCATCCATTGTGGAGGGAAGCCCATCAAAGTGACATGTCAACTGTTTCCAGGATTTTTAAAGATTGCCATGTACTCCCTGTGTCCCTAATAACAGCTGTGTCTTTCTTAGCCTTAGAAAAAGACTGACAGGTCAAGAAACATCTCTGCAATGGGGGCTTCTATGTGAGTGCCAGTAGCAGGTGTAAGAAAAGAAAATTGCTGTAGGCTCTGTATTTGTGTGGTTTTCTGCCTGCTGAGTCAACTGACTTTCTACAAGGGATGGTTGTGCACACAGCATAAGATTCTTTCCAAACTTTGTGTATCTCCACTGTACAGTTCAGTTAACAGACTATGTGTAGGTACACACACTTCCACGATAGCACTTTTCAAAGAAACTGGATTGGTCAGTGCTATGCTGGCTGGTGGCTTCCGGAAGTTTTAGTCAAAATCAGTAACTTTTTCAAGCTCTGCGTTCTGCTGGATCTTTTTTGTTTCTGAATTAGTTATCTCCTCCTCACTGATTACATCCCAAAGGCTCACTTCTAGACTCAGTGCATTAATATTTTTGTCCTATTAAGACCTACTCAAGGCATAAATCGTGCTAAGTTTATTCGGACTTAACTGCTATATTGTGTAAAGGATTAGAACCTGGAATAGCTAACCACCATCAGCATTGTTCTGTCACTCTAAGTGCACTGATCGCTAAAGGTAAACACTGATGACTCATGCTGTTTTATAATCTGTATTCCATTAGAAATGCTTCTTCCTTGTAAGGTAACAATGAATGCAGGGGGCTGGATTTGTGAGACAGGAGTGCAGGCTGTCTGTCTATCTTTAAAAATAAAATCCAGCCATTGCTCTATCACAGGTACTCTTTCTCATCCCTACCAACACATTTATATCTCACCCACAGGTTACAAATGTTACCGTTTTGGACTACAATTCCCAGAATTCCCTTCAGCCATTATGGCCAATGTCCATGATGGCTGAAGGGATTAGGGGAGTTACAGTCCCAAAAGTTACTTTACCTTAGTTCTAAGGAATTAAAGATCCATGGTGCCTATCTCCCCTTCTGGTTCATTCTCACAATTAGACTAAGGCAGACAAGGATGAGATACCCAATATCAGTTGGTGAGTTTTGAAGCTGGGTTGGGATTTGAATCTAGGTCTTCCTAGTCCAAACCTGACACAGTAGCTATTACACCACAATGACTCTTAACAGCTTTGTGATGTTCCAGAAAGAGTAAGTATGTTACTTACACTTATGTCGTTCTGCTTCCCTATACATATTTATGACCTGATGACTATGCAACAGTTAACATCAAGTGACAGAATATTTGTACTGAATATGAGTATTGCTTCCCATCACCTAGAATATAATGCATTCATTGGTGAAGTCAGTTCATGCATTCAGTTGCTGTTCATCAAGTGTGAAAAATCAAGCAACATGCGTGACCCAGACTGAAGTCAGTTTCAAACAGGAGATTTTAGAAATGTCTATGGAAGGGCAGGGGAAGTAAAGATGATGACACTGCCAGAAACCTGCAACTGCCTGTTGCCTCTTTATGGGAACCACACAAAAAGGAACACAACAAACCCCCTAAGTTTCGGCTACCCTTATATCTAGCTGTTATCAAACAACAGTTGTACACATGCTGAGGCACATTCTTCATGGTCACTCACACATTCTGTGGCTGATCCCTTACACTGAAAACACTTTTCTTGCTGGAATCTCAGCTGTCAACAGCAGAGGGAGGCAACCAAGGAAGTTGAGGGCATGGAAAACACATCCTGTCAGCGAAGACGTGATGACCTGCATGTCTTTCTTGTGTTATCTGCTCTCAGGTTGGAACTGACTTACATCAACCCTAATACAGCTTTCAAGATGAATGAGATATTTAAGGTGGGGCTTTACCAGCACCCACACCCCGAGTGAGCTTTCACGAATGAGCAGGGGTTGGAACCCAAGGCCTCCGGAGCCCTACTCCATCATTCTATCCACTACGCCAGTGGTTTTTAACCTTGGGTTACTCAGGTGTTTTTGAACTACAACTCCCAGAAATCCTAGCCAGCACAGCTGGTGGTGAAGGCTTCTGGGAGTTGCAGTCCAAAAACACCTGAGTAACCAAGGTTAAGAACCACTGCACTACACCACACTGGATATCCTGTGTATTTATCCTGGAGTAAATTAGGTGCCTGAGAGTGTGGATGTGTGTGAGAGAAAAAATTAAAATATTTTTACCCTGCCTTTCTCCTTAAAAGGGACTCAAGGCCGCTTACATCATTAAAAAGATAATATTTGAAAGCTAAAAACAGTAAGTAAACAAATATTTATAAAGAATTAAGCAAGTATTGTATTAAAAATGGTAAATAAAATCAATGCTAAAACACATTTAAAACAACAGATGACAATTCATTTAACACCCCCCCCCTTAGACCACCAGTCATTAAGGAAAAGCCTGCCTGACGAGAAAGGTTGTATGCCACAGGAAGGTAGATTTCAGGTGAATATGAGAAGAAACAGCGGCTGTTGCATAGCTATCTCTATTATTCTGTGATCCATTGCTGTGACTCAGTTCCTTCCTGAATAGTCCTACCTCTCCTATAAGCCAATGATTTAAGTATGCCTCTTTGTCAACTACAGTGGACCCTTGACTTACAGATGGCTCGACCTACAGACTTTTCGAGTTACAGACTTCTCTGGCTGCAAAATTTAGATTCGACTTCCAGCCAGAGAATCGACTTACAGACCAGAAAAAACCCCAAATGGAACAAAAATAGAATAAAAACCGCTGGTTATGGGATTAATCGGTTTTCAATGCATTGTAGGTCAATGGAGATTCGACCTACAGACTTTTCGACTTGCAGCCACCATTCCAATATGGATTAGTTCCTTAAGTAGAGGGTCCACTGTACTTCAAACTAAAGGAAACAAATGGACTTCCATAGTTTCTCTTAGCC